TTTTTTTTTTTTTTTTTTTTTTTTTTTTTTTTTTTTTTTTTTTTTTTTTTTCGCAGTTGGCTAATTTAAGGTTTACAAGTGATGAACCAACAAAAATCATGACTTTTTTTCTTTCTTTTAAGAATAAACAATTTAACTTGGCGTCGGTCGAGTTCGAATGATAAAAACTTAGTTTCAAATGAAAATGGAAAAAAAGCCTACCTTGATCGTGGCCTCGGCCAGCTTGAGTTCCTTGGCGAGCTCGCACCTCTTAGGCCGGGTAACGTAGTTCTCCTTTTGGAACTCCTCCTCGAGCCTGCCAAGCTGTTCCCGCGTGAATGCGGTCCTGTACCTGCGAATGTTGGGCTCGCTGATGGGCGTCGTAGGGCTTGGACTATGTCGCGTAGCCGGCTCGGGACTGTCATCTGGGCGAAAACAAAAAACAAAAATTTCGAACATTAAAATGGAGACAAAGAGAGAAAGAGAGAGATAGGGTCAAGGTGAGAAGCCCCCGCAGAGAGCGGGTAGAAAGTCAGAGTGGCTCGCGAGAGATCTTATCTGGGGCGCAGATCAAAGGCCCGGAAAGTCATACGTGCGCGGAAGGGAGAAACCCAGAGGGGCGCCAGCGGCGGCGCTTTTGAGGTTCGCGTGGGGCTGTGGCCCGCCATTGTCGGAGTAGGCCCCAAAACGACCGCAGAGGGAGAAAAAAAACTGTCGCAGAAAGTGAAAAGGTGCGACGTGTACGCACACCCCCAGGGCGCCCTCTATTATGCTTTTGTCGGATGCGACTCGAAAAGTGCGGCCCAATGTTGGGGACCTTTTTTTTTCGGGAAAGTCAGAGCCGTGTTCCTTTTGGCCCATTAAGCCGCAACTGCTCTTGTCACAACTCTTATTGATCTTTGGTTTTTGCAGGGCTTTGGAAAAATGAGGGGACAATGCTCGGAGGGCGGGCTGCGGGCAGCTTACCGGGCAGGAAGCCCGGCAAGCGTGTGTAAGGCAGATTGAAGGCACAATGCGGGTATTAGAAGGCTGTGCGTGTGGCTTTTCTGGCTCCTTAGCTACCGTACTTACATCGCCTTGTGTCCGACGGCAAGAAGCGAGTTGACGCGATTATCCCAGATTTTGACACTAAGGTGACGGAAATCGAGACCCGAGGAGAATTGTGACACCGCGCTTATTGTTATCCGGATGAAGGAAGCGGTGATTATGCGTAAATAATCTTTTACCGGGGAGTGTTTACGAACGGAGATTTTCGGGGAAGAGAAAAATAGTAGTCCCACGTCGAGCAAAGTGAAACTGATATTTCGTTGGAAGTTCGAATGCGCGACCGTTAGAGTTTGAAAAGGATAAAAGAACGTGATAGCACTGCATAGTATGAATAGAAGAGAGTGAAAATGCAAGCACGACGTACCTCTAGGATCGGTCGGAGTTCTCGGTGGCGAAGGCTGGAACGGCGGTAAATCGATGATGATCTTTTTGTCCATCTCGTCCTTTATGTTCAATTTCGAATCCATTCTACCGTAGCACGTGTACATTCTAGCAGCTTCTTGTCACTGTATGTTGTCGCTTGTACACGGTCGAATCGCACTTGTTCGATGACGACAAAGGACAGTCTATAAGCACTTGGATTTATGTATTTACTAAATAAAGCGTCACTGTTGATACTGCACCGTTGATGACATAACTGATCGGACTCTACAACTGGGGATGTCTTGCACGACAAAACTGTACTATGACCCGGTGTATTTCTAAAAATTGCCGTTCAACAGCAGTTCTCAACGAAGACTGAGCGCTCGGTTCCGAGAGCAGTACTATTTATGCTTGTTCCGTCCGAGCGCTCGCCGCTTGAAGCCCGTCACGAGGCTTGCCGGGAGAGACGTCCGAGCTCGGCATTGGCTGGCTCCCGCGCCCATTCACCGGGGATTCTCCGGAAGCTCCACCCCTTCGCCCCTCCACTCGCACGGTGTAGAGCCGTACACGACGGCTGTGAAATTTCTCCGCGCCCCACTCTTCTCCAAACAACTTATTGTGGGAGAAAATTTTCTTCGGTCCGGCGAATCATCTCTAATAATTTCGCTGTGTACAAAGCCGTTGGGAATTTACTAAGAATATATACTTATCGGTTTTCGTTTTCGTTCACAAGTGTTGCAATTAGGGACGTTCTTGGAGATTCGAGAGCGGAGTTGTAAGCTGTAAGTGAAGGTTTCTTTCGTTTACTCGCAAATCTGTCTTTTTATGGCATGCGATTCAACACGTATACTTTGGTTTTGCGCACAAACTACGTGCTTTGATGCCTTGTGAACGATAATGCGACTTATCCGGGGAAATTCGTTGAATTTATTTACGTCGGACTAGCACGTCCGTTGGCGAAGTAACGATTTCACTTGAAACAATCTTTATGGTTGCCTACGTTATTTTAGAATAACGTAAACATGGAAATCGTACTTTCGTCAACTGATTTTGCATTTCAGCTATGTGCATAAGCTATGGCCAAAGACGTGATTCGTGATCGAAGTATTTATGCAAAAATTGACATCGAGACGCAATACTGATTATTTACAATTATTGTATTGGCGTATGCAAATGTTTTTGCTAGGCCGTAAATCACCGCGTTGAGACCCTGAATTTGCCTGATTTACAAGAATGAAATTTCCCCAAGCTGCAGCACCCATTGAGAGGCCAAAAAAACCCCCCAGGCTCTCCCTAGTAAAAAAAAAAAAAAACAAGCGCCATGCGAGCCCCTAAAAAAGTTAACTTTGAAAATCATTTTACGACTACGACCTATTGTCTCGAGAAGTGTATTATACCGGGATGCAAAGTTGTAGCGACGGCCGTATCGTAAAGCTAAAAGATGCCAGGCTCCCCCCAAATACGAATACCCATGCTCCGTTTTTTTGGGCTACTAGCTGTTGCTGTATATAGTATTCATCGGTGGGGAGGAAAAAAAGGAGCCCATTTCCCTCGACTTTGAATATTTTTATGAGACTGCAATCCTCGGACTGGGTATTCCACGTGAGAAAAGTCGGACCAGAAAAAAACGACTGTGCACGTACAGCAGCGAGATCTCAAAGCGATCATTATTACGCAATACATGAGTATCATACCATGTGCTCTCAATAGGTAAATTTACTCAACTCTTCTTAAGACCAGTAGTGTTGGTTTTAAAAAACAAAGAAAATACTACGCAAATCATCGTGCCAATAAACCCCAAAAGGAACAAAATAAAAAGTGAAATTACCGGACATACGGAAGTTCGAATCATGCACGGTATGAAAAAAAAAAAAAAAAAAAAAACTGGACCAAAAGCTCGTCATAATTCATAGCGAGCGAGGAAGTACTCCGTCGCGACTATGGTTTTTTTTTTTTTTTTTATTATTACGTTGCCGAGGCCAGTCACCGAAACACTCGCCTCGGACGGATGTTATTTTTTGCAAAAACGCACAGGTACCGGGAGGGGAGCCATTTCGCTGGCTTCCTTTCTTTTTAAGGACGTGCGTGTCGCTGAAAAGTCGCCCCCTCCCGTAAAATACAGCCGGTAGTTAAAAATGGAGCGTTTTTTTAGTAGCCCCTCCCAAGCTCGGGCTGGGACCATTTTTTTATAATCCCTCGAGTTATTTTCGTTCCACAGTGCCACGAGTGCATGCAGGTATGCAAACAAGAGAGAGCGAGGGAGATAGTTCCGTGTCGTTTAAAACGGAGCAGGATCCGTTATATACGACGCCGAGGACGCGTAACAGGGAAATATACGACTATGTTGGGCCAAAGGCACTACCGAGTCGAAATCAATGTATTTTGCTTGTGACTTATTTTTTACGGCCTCGTTATGTATTGTTGGGTGCAGGGTGTACTTGTAGGGCCCGAGCGGTATACCCATGGCCACGACGCGGCGCTCCACGATATGGACCTTTTCATATGTAGATCTTGCATACAATGCGCCGATGGAAAAAACATTATTGCACCTCGTATATTATTTCTGATTCGACGTTTCTCTTTCCTCTCGTCTGCTGTGGCATTTCGCTGTTGACCCCCGGCTATATGACTATATAGTCTGATGTACAGCTTTTTATATCTATATAACGTTGCATACTACGTGCCCGCAACGTGGTGAGCTTAACATTCCCACATGCAAATGTAAAGGAATGTTGTTTTTTTCCGAGCGGGAAACTTATTGAAAAAAATACATTATTTTTATTTTTTAGGTGATGTCAACTTGAATTGATGATGGAGTTGAGAATATTAGTAGTTTTCCGTGGCGGTGCCAAAAAATGATGAAAGAGGCGTTAAATATTAACACCGTGTATTTAGCCCTCATATTTTTATTCACGCGTATATTAATGGTGATAATACAAGCGAGTTATGTGCGAATTCAATTGTTTGGACTATTTTTATAGTTATTTGATGAATATTTTAACATTTTGTCATTTAACTGACACATACTGCAGTACTGCAGTACTAAGAATAAAATTTTCTTACATTTTTTCGCTAATTTTATTGTGAACACACACATAATAAGTACTACATTTTACGTACAATATCTTTGTTATGATGTCACCAATTAAGTAAGCGTTACTTAATATTTTTGATAACCTTAAATGTACACATCATCGTGTATATAGGTAGACAAATAAATAATTAATTATACATTTTTTTTCTCAACAATAACGGTGTGTCGTAGATATACCAGAGTGATTGTTAAATAACAAAATACAAGCATGTTTTCCGTACTGTTCAATTTTATGTTTGATATAACCATATCAAATACACTTCTTTGTTTACTTGTTGTTTCTTTTGAAGGATGAAATCAAACTTAATAGCATCACCCTAGATAATTTTCATATAATATTGCTACGATTTAACTATACTATTCTTTTTTTTAATTTTCTCGAAAAAACCACCTGATATGGGTTAAAATAAATAAATAAAATGAATAAAAAATTATGGTCACGTGACAAGCAATCTTTTATGATGGAATACTATCTGATCGGCACATCAGTGTATGTGTGTATTATACACATATGTTGTTTAATTGATACCTTGATGATCGTTAGACTCGGAATCTTATTCAAAATCATCATAAAAGTCGTTTGAGTGTTACTTAGTCTACGTGTAAAAATTGTTCCGCTTGTTTCATTCACCACTTGGCCAGATTAGTCATCTGAAGCGGTGTTCAATTTTATTGCAAGCTCATCCAGGCGTAGTATTCAAATATTTGTCTAATAGTGCAGCATCTGCCCTTACTTCCCACACGTAAATCGGTGAAATTTATGCAGAACAATAAATGTTAATGTCGCTTCATTATTCACCGCCAAAATATGCAAGACCGCACAAATACTCGAGGATTACACGGTGATTTAGAATTTGCTTCCCGAAATCTCGGTGTAAAACAATAAAAATACTATACCCAATAACGCCCATTGCACGGCAATGGTTTCACAATCCTCTAAAAAGGCCACTATACGTACTTAGGAGCGCGTCAAATTTCCGACGAGTGATGGAGGCAATTACGTCAAACCCTTGCACGTCGCAGACGGACCCTTTTTTTTTTTTTATTCAGGGATAATCCTCTTAACTCGGACGAGTGGCTGGAAAATCGATGCGCGCCTCGTTCTCTCCTTCTGGTCGGTTCGCGTGCCTAACATACCTAAGTGGCCTGAATGTTTGTAGAAAGGCTTGACCGCCGGGAGAAGCTGTAGAGGTGAAAAAAGACGTTTCGAGGCTCGGTTAATCCGGGGCCTTGAAACTATTGCCCTTTCAGGCCCAATTCGATTGTCTTGCGGACAAATTTTCATGCAACTCTAAGAAATTATAGTAGAAGTGGTTACCAGAGCAAAAGTGTTGTCACGTACATAAATCGTACATGTTTGATGATTTGAGAATTTTTACTTTACGTTATAGCTTGTAGGTATAATTTAAATGGTATACCCATATGTAATTTCATGTTTGAAAACTCGAAATCGGAAGTACGGCACCGTCGCACGGTTATTTTTTACGAACCTGTCGGTTGGCACCTACTGCAACCAACAACACAATTTTCAAAGTTCATCTAGTTGTGCGAGTACGGATTGAAGAAATGTTGACAAGTGATTTTGAATGGTAACAAGTGGAGTTTTTTTTTTTCAGTTGCTGGGGCTACATAAATATTCGTTTTCTATCGCATAAGTTTGTAATTGAATAGCTCACCTGAATCAGTTTTTGTTCGTAACAAACAGTGACATAAATAGTTAGTTCCAGTTTATTGTCACAAATAGAGTAATCCACGTGCACGTACTGCAATAACCGCGCTCACACAGAAAGCCCTTGCATTATTATTGGGCGGTTCAACCTGATGAATGGTAATGAAACAACTCGCGCATAAACATTGGCTGCACAATCGATACCGAAGCGCCATTGTTTCGTACGATGCAGCGACACGGACGACCCACGACCCTCACTCGGATCGAATCGTAATGGACAATCAGTCTCACGCAGAGGCGAAACCAATCGCTATATATGGAGCATCGAATTATGCCTGATC